TTATTATTATTATTATTATTATTATTATTAATATGTGGGCGTATCTGCTCGTGTGTCTATTCAAATATGCTTCTCTGTTTGGCCTGTTATTCTGCGAGTAGCTTCTAGGGTGAAAAGTACCCGTACCGAACGAAGCAGCCACAGGTACATCACAAGAAGGAACATCTGGAGGAGGAGGATTTGAACAGTTATCGCCTAGCATATCATCACACTCCTCTAAAGAGAGGGGCAACTCCCTCAGTTTTCTTTTTGTTTATTCTCCCATACACATCGTCCGAAAACTTCAACAAGATATTTTTTTTTTTGCTTTGCGCGTGAATTTCACACAAAATGAGCCAAATGATGCGGGAAGATCACGACGTCGTCAGTGTCAATGTCGCGGTTCTCTCGTGTGAACCGAGTCAAGCCGCCGTGGCGGTGCGCTTCGGTGGGCCCGGCTGCGAGTGGCAATGGGTGCAGGTGCCCACACGCACTCCCATTACTCTCTCGTGCGCGTGCTCTGCCGCCAGGACCACCAGCAGTAGTGGCCAATACAACGACAACAATCACAGCAATGATAGTGAATATGAGAACTCGCAGATGTACGAGTTGGCAATTTCCCCATCACCTCCGGATTTCAATGGTGGAGACTTCGTTCCCGTCGTGCGGCTTGACACTCGACGCGGGTGGCCGGCAGCGCCCGTCACATTGGGCTCACAGGATGACGGCGATGCCTCCTTCCGAGTGTCGCTTCTCTGCTCATTGTTGCCGGGCCCGTTACCGCAGAGCAACAGCGAGCGTCAGCGCCAAGATGGCGACATATCTCCCCCACATCGCGCGGTGATTGGTGGCAATTCGGTGCCGATGGGCTGGCTCAGTGGTCGAATTGCCGCAAAAACGCAACGCCGTCTCTTATTTGAGGAGGAGCTGGATGTGAGGNATCATGCCAACAAGAGCCAGAGCATCTCACAGCACCAAGACGAGCCAGCCACTGTGCCGTATGGCTGTCATAACGGGAACGGGTGGAAATTGTTGGAGGGCAATGACAACAACAAAAAAATCAATGGCATCTCCGCAATGATGCCACCGCTGCCGCAAAGGCTGGGTTCGGAACCATCGAACCTCTTTGCGGGGGCTCCATCGCACCAAGCCGTGCTCCTCACCACAGTAGTCTCGCTGCGACGCCGCAACGCCGCACCGAACCGTGTGGTAGAGATGGTGCTGTCGCTTGAAAGCAACGTGGATACAATGCCGCCACCACTATGTATGTGTCTGCTCCACACGGCGGCAGTGACACGTGAAAAGGCCGCAAAGGTCCCTCAGATGGGGCAGCCGTTGCTCCTCCCCCCTTCTGTCGACATTCGTCCGTCAATGCAGCGTGATGTCGAAAGCCAAGCAACAAGTACAGGGGTAGAATCTGTGTTTCGCGTTCGCTGCTGTATCCTGGAAAGCTACACACGCCATCACAGTGTCTCTCGCGACGACTCGCCTGTGAGCAGGTTCGGTCGCTTTTCAACGCCGCGCAGAGATGGTGACAAAGACGTTTCGGAGTCTGTGTGTCCGCTTGGCGAAGGCGCTATGACGTTGTGCATGCCGAATGAGTGGTCTGGTGATAGCGATGGCGGCAGTCAGAATGCTGTGGGGTGGTTATCGCACCCATACCTGGAGCAGGCAGTCTTCTCAAAAGAAACTCTGCGCTGTGGCGCTGACGAAGTGGAACTCGAATTTTTGCTTATGACGGTTTCGGCGTACCGCGAGGCCGTTCTTAACTACGGGGCGGTGAATGGCCTGGGCGGGGCGTNATTTTTGCTTATGACGGTTTCGGCGTACCGCGAGGCCGTTCTTAACTACGGGGCGGTGAATGGCCTGGGCGGGGCGTACCTCGAGGTGCGTGTGGAGACGATACATGGCTCGGGACGGGACTTTGCGGTGCAGCAGCAGGCAGAGCGGCCGTACAGGGTGTTGGAAATATGGCTGGCCCATCCGACTTCAGGCCCTGAAACCCCAACGGTAGCGGCAGCAAAAGGAAGGACGGAAGACGACTATGATGGTGCAGTCTGCCGCCATGTGGTTCTGCAGACACTCCACCCTTCACAAGGGGTAGGTGCACAGCCGGCGTTCTTCGTTGTGGGGCACCCCTTTGCGCGGCTATCCTTCGCGATTGAGCTTCACAAAGAGGTAGATGTACACAGTGTGCCGCACCATGGATCTGTTCCCATTGATCTGGCGCGGGTAGGCGAGTGGACACGGCTCCCGGCGTTGCTAACAAGCAGTAATGGCAACCTTGATAGTACGGTGTGTCTTCAACTACTGTGCCGCTTGAGAGGTGTCTCCTCTTCGCCTCAAAAAGCTGCTGTGCCACCGCCGCCGCTTGCTCTGCACAGCTACGCCTTCAATCTTGATGCACGAAGTTGCGGAAACATCATCTCTCTGCTGATGCAGCCGCACCGTGACGGCCCCGTCGCTCAGGCAATCCGAGTCCTTGTTGCAGGCGCAGACGACACGGCGGTGGAGGCCATTTCCCGCGTCGTGGAGCGCGCCGAAGTGATGCTCCTCGGCGCTATGCACAACGAGGTGGAACTTGACCTTGTGTTCAATCGTGTATTTTTTATCCAGCATGGGGATGGAGATAGCGCAACGCGCGACCAGGGAAATGATGGGAATGGGGGAAACGACAAGGTTGAGGTTGAGCTGCGGTGTCAGGTGTTAGCATTCGCCACGCGTGACGAGGCGGAGCGACTGCGCAACCCTTGCTGCGTGGGTGAAGGAAATGTGGTGCTTTTCCCTTCTAGGAGTAAGCCGCACCGAGGCAATGATAACATTGGCTCAATCGACGTCCACTTGGCCATTGACGCTGTTTCCGGTTCTCCCTATCTAAGCCGTTCGGAGTGTGCTCTGCTGCGATTGTGTGGAACAGTGCAATATGAAAGGTACGATCAAAGCGATAATGTGCTTTGTATTCGGTCGATACGCGTCCTGCAGCGGCATAATCAGAAGCAGCAGCAGCATTGCTGCAGTGCAGTATCCCCCGTCACAAATTCTGTGGTGGGTTTGTGCGTCTGGCTTCATTGTGGGGGGAGTGAAGTCGGTGGCAGGGAATGGAAGCACGCACTTCGTCGCTCCCGGGCAGTGATTGTGCCGCAACAACAAAATCATTATCATCATGAGAAACATCAGCAAGAGCAAGACTGCAGCGAGTTTGTTGTTACTTCATGTGGAAGGGCATTGACGTTGTGCGTTGCGCTTGCTCCTCACATTATGGATGCGAATCATGTCACTGATAATGTGCAACAGACCGTTTGGGCTGCGGTGAAATCTGCAAAGAAGGAAATGCGTCGCTATGGAAGTGGTGCAGCGTGGCGCGGTGCCCACATCACTTCAAATGCTCACAACTACGTCGAAATCAACCTCTCTGCCTCCCATGTTATGTGCGGTACCGTTGCGGGGATGGTTCACATAAACGATGAGTTGTTGCTGCAACTTGAAGCGGAGTGGGCAAAGGCTCCGACGAGTGTGGGTGCTCTGCCCGAAGAGTGCCGGCCCTCATCGCGTCACTGGGCCGTGCGGCTCACAAGTTCCATGCATCTAACCGATGCACCGTATGTGCTTAATGTCGCGAGTACACCCATTTACCACAGTGAGCCGCTTGGTGCGCCCCCACCGTGCGTGCCGGGAGAGCGGTTGACAGGGGAGCCACACTTTCGACGTAGGCACCATCCGTCTTGCTCGCCGTCATCCCACACAGGTGACGGCGACTGCACCCTCTCGAGCAGCAATACCATCACTGTGCGAGTGGGGGCTCCAAGGATGAATGCAGCTCCAATGGTGCGGACGGTGTTTGTTTTCGGTGACGCCCAGGCCACGCGAACGCGAGTGTCACTCAGTCTAAACGGGCAGCGGCTGCAAAGCCTTATCGCAGACTCTCTCGTTGGCCACGGCACTCTCATTGCGGATGCAGATGCAACCGTTATTGACTGGTTTCACGGTGCCATGACAGCGGATGGGAATGAAGAACGGCGGGGGCGGGGGCGGCGACACCCGCAGGAGGACGATCTCATAGAGCAGTCGCGCCCCAATCCTGTGTATATCCCCTTCATGACGCCAGCAGCAGCACCAGGGAGTGTGGAGTTTGCGGTCAGTTTCCACACGTTGACCCGCTGCGGCTACGAAGGGGCGCTGCTGTTGGGTGGACTCACAGAGAGCTCACCGCCGGCCGTGCTTTACTACTCCTTTAGCGACAACACGTGGTCTCCTCTTGCGCTGAGAATGCGATCGCGTACTGGAAAATTTCAACGTCGAGAATTCATCAGGGGGTTAGCGGCGCGCCACGGACACTCTGCTGTGTACTGCCCAACAACCAACACTGTCTATGTGTACGGCGGAATCGGTGTTGGTGGGTTAGTGCCAGTAATGCGTGATGACGGTGTAATCGATGCGGAAAGTATGCGTTCTTATCCCACACGAGGTCGTGCTTACGGCCGCATTGGTTATCTGTCGGACGTGTGGTGTATTCACCTCTTCGACGGCACTGTGGAGTGTGTGGACACGGTGCAGCCCGCAGAGAACGAATTGATATGTGCGGCGCGCTGGCGGCATGCCGCGGCGTACTACAGTGAGTCTATGATTGTTGTTGGAGGCAAGACGATACGGCGCCGCCCAGGAACCAGTCGCACACCACCCCACAGTGGACATATCGCCACTCATGGTAAGGTGGAGGAGGAGGAGGAGGAAGTGTGCAGCTGCTGCTATCTGCCTGTTTTAAACCTGCTGCAGCGCACGTGGTCCACGCAATCATGTGGGGGAGGTGCTCGCCCGGAGCCACGCTACGGTCACGCAACCGCAACAAAGGATGTGTCCCTCTACATGTACGGTGGCATGTCAGCCACACGAGAGCTGTTGGCTGACCTTCATGAATTAAACCTAGCCACATACACGTGGAGGAACGTTTCCTACAACGGCGCTGTAGCACCACCGCCAATGCACCTCGCTGCCCTCGAAGCTGTTACGATTGACGATACCCCTTGTCTGGTTCTCGTCGAGGGTGAGACCGCGACGGCGTCACAGCAGCTGAGGGTATTTCTCTTTTCTCACGCATCAGAGTTCTGGCACACAATCCACTTTGAGTGCACACCAGGCCCTCCGCGCATCGGCCTCTCCATATGTGACGCCACAACAATCCAAATGCGACAGAAGCAGCAGCAGCGCCACCTCCAGCAATCGCGGCGGCGTTTGCCGTTCCGACGCGCGCCACTCGTCAAATTGCTTCTGGTTGGAGGGGAGAGCGGTGGTAGCACCTACACCAACGAGGGCCGATATTTCCGCAGTACCTACCCAACTTCGTCAGCATCGTGGTGCTCCCCGTGTCTTCTCAACCTGTCGTGTGACGATCGCCGCAGCGCCCCGCGTGGCAGGAGTAGGCGATCCATCTCCCCTGCCCTTGCATTACACTCCATGGTGCGTCGCCACATGTCCAGTAGCAGAGACAGTAGCTACGGGAACCGTACCGCAAGAAACGGGACGCCGCAGCCACACAGAACCCATTCTCTTATGGCACAACGTGTATTGACACGACAGAAGCAGGCAGAACTCATCGAACGACTGTACTACTACGAGATGGCCATACGATCTAAACGCGGGCTTGTGATGCCACAGCCGGTACCTCCTCCAACACAAACCCACCGACGCTCTGTAATCTCCCCATACGCTCACGCGCACACTAGGAGCAGCAGACCCAGAACCCCAATTGTCCTTCGCCAACACCACGACCCCGTGTACACCATGGAGCGAGGCAGTCACATATGCCCTACCACGGCAGATGAAACATGTAAAACTCACGAGACGTGTACGCCAGCCGAAGTGAACACAACGCGTATTTATCATAATCCTCACCCTCCACCCAAAAACGCAAAAGCACCACAAACCGAGAAGGTACACGAGTCATGGGCCACTGTGATCCACAACACAAAACAAGACACAGAAGAGAGCCCATCCCATATGCCCAGCAACAGCAGCCAAAACAAAATCAACACGACAAAGCGAACAACTGCACAAGACACAACCAAGATAAAAGCTCCATCACTCTACACAACAAACACAAATTTTACGACATACCTCCAAGATCAACCTCTAGAAAACAGCCAATTTGTATATACAAGCCACTCCACGAGCTTCACAGAGAATACACAATCAGAAAAACCTCGAATACCACACGCCACGGAACCCCAGAAACTAAACGTGCCCATACACGGCGCAGGCTCACCACAGAGCAAGGCACGCGCGGCTTTGGTGTCTGAAGTTACCCCGGCGCCCCGGGAGAAGGTAAAGGAGACAGTTGTTGGCCACGAGATCACAACAACGCTGAGCGCTGCAACTGCGCCCATCACGGACGAACCAACCCCTTCGCCAGTACAAACAGTTGAGGAGGTAAACGAGGCGGTTGATGTGCATGAGGCCACAATGGAAGAGAGCGATGCAAGCGAGCCCTTGGTGTCTGACGACACCCCGGCGCCTGTGGAAGCAGTGGGCGAGGTGAGGCAGCCGGTGGATGTGCATGAGGCCACAATGGAAGAGAGCGAGGCAAGCGAGCCCTTGGTGTCTGAAGATACCCCGGCGCCTCTGTGTGAGGCAAAGGGTTCCTCTATGTATGCGGAAAGGTTGGGGAATGTCAAACGTGTTAGGAGCGAAGGCACACCTGTTGCTGACGATGTTTCAGTTGTGGCGTCATATTTGAGTGGGGAGAGGAGAAGGGTCGCCATGCTTAACGGCAGTTTTTGTAGTAAAAATGATGATTATTTGGAAGGGGACGACAAATGTCCACCTTCAGTGAAGCAAACAACGTGCAATGCGCCCCCTTTAGTGGTTGAGGACGGATGTATTGGTAGTGGGATTGTCTTTGTCAAAGGGGATACGCGTAACTTGAGAGATGCTGGTTTATTGGACGGCGAAGCATCTAATCAGTTTGGTCCAAGCGATTTCGAGTTTTAATATTAATAAAAAGCCTGCTTATTTGATATATCGCGTTTTCGGTGACTGGTCCCGGTTTGCGGTTGGATGGCGTGAGCCGCGCGTGTGGGGTTGAATCGTGCGCTCTCTTTTAAGGGGGTGGTGGTTTATGTTTTTTTTTGGTTTTT